CTAAGGAATATTAGTGTTGGAGCCAATACATGCACTGAAGAAGAGGCTTACTGATTAAAGAAAGTCTCCCTTAGAATGGTTAAGGAAAAGCCTAGATATTTGCATTTAAATAATGGAAAGATTACCTTTAGCACAAGAAGGTACATATCTAGCTAAGCCTACAACTTGTGAAAGGAAAAAGCCTAAAGATATTCCTGCTCCTAGTAAATTACTGTGGACAAAAGTTGCTGGTAATGTCGAATGAAGCATACCCATGTCCATCCCAGGCTGACAGCTGAATTTGGCAGTGTCAGTCACATGCTTGTTTTAGGGGCATGAAAGATACAAGAGTGAAGAGCTCACTGGCTTTTCTTCTGCAGTTTCATAGAGCTGTGGAGGTGAGAAAGCATGCAGCAGGGGTGTCTCTGCTTGAAGAAGACTGTGACAGGCCATTGCATGAAGGTATGAAGGTGAACTCTGCTTGGCAGTGGAGACTCCAAAAGATGTTGGAGATGCAAGACCAATGAGACATCGGCCAAGGAGAACTGAATATAGAGAATGGTACCAGCCCAAGAGAGAGATGTGTATTGCATGAAACAAAGTTGGAGAGGCTAAGGCATCTATGCCCTTTGTAAGTAAATTACAAGAAGTCAGATATGGAGCTACTAGATTTGATGTTTGCCCTTCTGGTTTTGGTCTTGTTTTGGTCCAATACTTTCTCACAATTGCCCCATTCCTTCTTTTTAGAGTGGAATGTATATTGAGTTCCAATGTATTTTGGAAGTATGTTATTTGTCTTTTGATTTTACAGAGGTTCAAAGTTAAAAGGTTGCCTTTAGACACTAAACTCTGGACTTTTGAATAATACTGAGACTGGTAAAGATTGTGAGGACTCGAAAAGTGGAATAAATGCAATTGCATTTCATATGGTAATGATCCTATGTGGGACAGGAAGTGGAATGTGGTGGTTTGAATGAAAATGTCCTCCATAAGCTCCATGTATTCCGATATTTTGTTCCCAGTTGGTGGAAATGTTTAAGGATGTTTAAGGAGGTGCAGCCTTGCTGGATGAAACACGTCACTGGGCCATTTTCCAGACACCATGCCTTTCTGCCATGAAGGACTCTGATCCCTCTGGACCTATAAGTTCAAATAAACTCTTCCTTTTATAAGTTTCTTTGGTCACAGTGTTTTTTTTTTTTTTTTTTTTTTTTTTTTTTTTTTTTTTTTATTTTTTTGAGACAGGGTCTCTCTGTAGCCCCAGCTGTCCTGGGACTCATTATGTAGACCAGGCTGGCCTTGAATTCACAGAGGTCTGACTGCCTCTGCCTCCCGAGTGCTGGGATTAAAGGCATGTGCCACCAAGCCCGGTGGTCACAGTGTTTTATCACAGCAAAAGGAAAGTAACTAATACAAGAGCTATAGTCATATCTAAAATCTCTGTGACTTAGAAGGGCTTTGTCTCAATAGGTAAGCATCTTGCACATTACATTGATGCAAAATTTAAAGGGATCATTTCACCCTTGTTGGTAAAACTCTTCCCTGTGGGAGATGTAAAGAACATCCACCCCTTCCTCCCTTGGTTCCCCAAACAATCTGAGGTGTATTCCACTAAATCTGAGGTATATTTCACTGTGGGGAACCAATGAGCATTACCGGACAAACTTACAGAGCAATGAGTGAGGGGTGATGTTCAGGAGTGTGGTTGTTCCGCTTGAAGGCCTCACAAGAAAGTGTTCACCCAGCATGAATGCTAGATTCCCCACAGTCCCACAGATGGAGTCCCCTTTCCTTAATCTTCCCAAGCCTATGTACTCTAGCCCTTCTTCCAGGCCACTTGCAATTAGGGTCATCCTTCCCCACTATGTGTTAGGAGTTTTAAATGGATATCCAAGTGAGGGTCTTGTGATTCTCCCTTCCCATCCTTCTTTTCAAACATCAACAGTCAGAAAACCCAACTGTGATGATCTTGGGCAAGCAGGTGCAGCTACATTCAGCAAGGTGGCATCTATCTGACATGGGGGACAGTTGTGTACAACATCAATGTTGTTCAAGACAGTTCGGTTCAGTATGGTTGTTTACTGAGCATTTATTAGGTGATGAGCATTGTGTTGAAATCTCAGGAACCAAATCATTATCTGACCTCAAAGTATGTGCCATAAACTAATATATTTTCTTGTCTAGAATTAATTTGGCATTCACACAAAAATAAGGTATGTATAATAAAGATCATTTGGCCCAAAGGAATATTACTTTTCTCAACCAGATTTGTAGAATAGTAGTTTTCACAAAATAAAGCATTGAAACACAATATTAAAATCTGAGTGGATAAAGCAAGATTAGGGTAACAGAGGTATAAGAAGCTGCACTAGAGCTGGCACATGGGAATGAAAGAGAAAGTGTATGGTAATGACATTCATGAAGGATTAAGAATGGAGTGACAGAGGATGCAATAAGTAGGGTACAGAGGGGGACAGTCTCACAGTGTTAGGTTCATGGATGAGGATGTCAAAAAGTGCCATTCCTTATTATTAGTATTCCTTAATAAAAAGCTATAAAAAGCACAGTTGGGTTGAAGAGAAGTGATAACAGGTGATGTGCACTGGAAATAGTTTTAAAAACTCATAAATTCCATGGGAAAGGGTATTTTATCTAGAAAAGAGCCCCTGAAAGTCTTCATGCAAGAGAGGAAAATATTTAGAAGTGTTTAGATATTCTGATTTTCAATATATATTTGATTCAGTTTTGCGCATTTTATAACATACACCTTAATCACATTAAGATTCTGTCCCTTATCTGCATCACCCCGAAGTTTCCCCAATGGATTTCATGAATCCTGTCATATATGTTAAGGCATATTGAGACAAGTTTGTGTCCCCAGATGTTGCTTGGTAATAGTCTTAACAAAGTTCAGCATGTCTTTAAAGATCACTGACAGGGAAGCAGCTCTAATATTCTTGGAGACAGAGTATTTAACCAGTTTTGTAGAAAAGTAAAAAATGAGGAAAGTAGAGATTTAAAAATTAGGGGAGAAATGTGACAGAACATGCCTATTACTAGGGGAGGCTCATTTTGTGGGTAAGAGGAAGTGGTATGATTCCCATGGCACATCTATGGTGAATGGGTGCTCTGATTGACACTATCCTCCTTTTGAGGGCCCAAAAGCAGTAGGAAAGAAGAGTCTAATTTGTATATTAGTAACATCTATTACATTATGGCTTTGTGAGATTCAAGACTCAGGGAAAGGAGAAAAATGCTTGAAGTTCACATATACTACTGCTATCCAATTTCCTGTCCTTAAAAAAAAGTCTTATTATTTTTAATTTGCATGAATGTTTTGCCTGCAGGTATGTCTGTGCACCACATATGTGTCAGTGCCCAAAGAGGTTAAAAGAGGTCATTGGAGCTATCATGTGTGTGCTGGGAAGCACTACTGGATCTACTGCAAGAGGTGGAAGTGTTCTTAACTGCTGAGTCATCTCTCCAATTCCTCCAATCTCGACTTAATTCTCCCCTACATCCACTGTCTACCCTGCTTGTGTTCAAATATTTTTAGTGCATTTAGTGTGTGAGTGTGTGTGTGTGTGTGTGTGTGTGTGTGTGTGTGTGTGTTTAGGACAGAAGACAATTTGCAGAGTTATCTGTTTCCAGTATGTAAGTCTTGATGGTCAAACTCAAAAATTCAGGTTGTCAGGCTTGGAGGCAAATGCCTTTACTCACTGAAGCTACTGGCCAGCCACTGCTTCTCTCTCTCATGATATCCTGATCCTAGGATTTGTCACTGGGCATAAATCTCTAAGTGTTTGGTAAACTTAAGGTACATCTGACTTCATGAAATCTTAGAGCTTTAGTCATGTAAACTCCAAAGTCCTGAGAACAAAGACTAACCTCCCTGTGAAAACTAAACCCATTTCTTTGAGGTCAGACTATTCAACAATTAGACATTACTTTGATACTTTAGAAATAAGATGTCAATCACAAGTAAGACATTAAATTCCATATCTGATAAGATTTATAGCCTTTTCTTGACGTGTTAGGGGAGAACATAGGAAGATGCATCAAACACCCTTGATTTCCAACTTGGTCACCTCAAATTCTTCCTGGAATATTTATCAGAGCTTAGAAATTGTTTTATAGGCAGATATGCGATAATAATTTAGCCATTTGCTCCTTCTAGATATATTTATTATTATTCATATTCTAGAAACCAAGTAAATGCTGAAGATATATTAGTCTATAGCAGAATTCTCTTAAAACTGAATCTTCAAGGGGAGATGACACTAGAAAATAAATCGTCTATAGAAAATTGGAAGATGCTATGGAACAATAAGTGGAACTGACTGGACTAGTAAATGGCAGTTGTGGTGGTGTGGGTGGTACTAGAATAGGCAGGCGATAATGAAATCCATTATCATTGATGATGATGAGCAAATCATCATTTGATGAGCAAATCAAGATGGTCTTGTTGGTATGGAGAGTAAGAAAAAACAGCCAGATGGGAAATTGAAAGGAAAGTGGTCCAGATAATCATAACAAATGAAAAGCAAGTCAGAGTAAGCCAAGGGGATAATCGTGGATGATAGAATAGTGTCTGGATTTTATAAAGGAACTGGTAGATAGTATTTTTACATAGAAAACACTATGATGTTTATTTATTTATTTGTTTATTTGTGAGTATTATGCCTGCATGTATGTAAATGCAACCATATGTGCAATGCCTTTGGAGGTCAGGAGAAGGGGATGGGTTCACTGGAACTGAAGTTATAGATAGTTGTTAGCTACCATTTGGGTTCTGGGAACCAAACCTGGATCTTCTGAAAGACAAGTCACTGTTCTTTTCTACTGCCCCCTCTCTCCAATTGGATGATTCATGTTTTTAAAGATCATATGTGCTGCATGAACAATTTTAAAGAAAATGTGGACATAATTCTAGGTGGTTAAGAACCAAACATGAGATGATTGTCACCTGGTTTAGGATGACAGCCATTACTATATTGTATTTTATAAAATAGCAGAAGTCTTTAAGCAAACATTTTCTTATTAAGCCGTCTCTTTAAAGCATTCTTAATCTCATTATTCCTCAAACTGTAGATGAGGGGGTTCAACATGGGAATAATCACCATGTAGAACACAGATATCACCTTGTTCTTGTCAGTGGAGTACTTGGATTTGGGCATCACATAAATGAATATTACAGTACCATAGAGCAGGGTAACTGCAGTGAGGTGGGAGGTGCAGGTGGAGAAGGCCTTCTGGCGGCCCTCAGTGGAGCGCATCTTCAGGGTGGTGATGAAGATGTAGGCGTAGGAGACAGCTATGACTAACAATGTGATCACAGTAACAGTGCCTGCAGAAAATGAGGTCACAAGTACAGAAACACTGACATCAGAACAGCAAATTTCAACTAAAGGAGCAAAATCACAGAAAAAGTGATTGACTCTGTTTGGTCCACAGAAGACAAAAGAAAAGAAGGAAAAGGTAAAGGAGGAAGCATTAAGAAAGCCACCTATATAAGATCCTACAACCAACTGAACACAGACTTGTGTGGACATTTTGGTTGAATAAAGAAGGGGGTTACAGATTGCCACAAAGCGATCATAAGCCATGACAGCCAGAAGGAAGCCCTCAGCTGGCCCAAAGAAGGCAGCTGAGCCAAGCTGGATGGCACACCCAAGACAGGAGATGGTATTCTTCTCTACCAGGAAGTTAACAAGCATATTTGGTGTGACAGAAGATGAAATTCCTATGTCAGTAGAAGCCAAATGACTCAGAAAAATGTACATGGGGTGATGGAGCTGAGGAGAGACTCTGATTAGAAGAATTATGCTGAGGTTGCCAGACACTGTCACCAGGTAAATGTGCAGGATGATGATGAACAGGATGACTCGAAGGGCTGGGTCATCTGTTAATCCCATCAAAATGAACTCTGTCACTGCAGTGTGGTTCCCATCCCCAGGGAAAGCCATGGGACAATGTAGCTGCTGCCAGCACAAACCTGTGACAAAGACATTACATGAATATACTTGAATCAGCATTTTGTTCAACACATACATGAAGAGTATTATGAACAATTTTATCATTCAATAAATGTTTGAACTAACAATTGATGTCTTTCTCTGAATTCTGTGTTTAATTTGTATGCGTTGAGTTGTCTTGAAAATTTAAGAGATAAATGCCAGAATTTTTCTATAAATATATATAGCATTTCTTTATGTTTGTCTACAGAATAATATACCTAAGTGTTTTAAAACTGAAGCTGAGGGCTTCCTTCTGCCTGTCATGGCTTATGAAACTGTGAGAACTTTGCCTGAAGGATGACTCAGCTGGTAAAGACATTTGCCATCTTGAGGATCTGAGTTACATCACAAGAACCCACATGGTGGGAGGCAGGAATTGACTCCTGACAGTTGTCCCCTGGCCTCCACATGTGTGCTGTGGCCTATGACATCTCTACCCTCACTGGAATACATAAATAGATGTTAAAGTGTGAGAGTTCTGGAAATAACCAAGTAGTTTTTATGAGTATAGCAAAAGATTAATGTGCAAATATAGAATTATGTAATGAAGCATTAATCACTAATAATAATGAAGCTTTTATTGAATTGTTATTGATAGCAGCAGAGGATTTAAATTTTTATATATCTATTTTTATTTCCAAGAATTAATATTAAGTACTTTATTTCCATTTTATTTTATACTTCGAAATCAATTTGAAGATGTTTAACATAAGGTTATAATTAATTATGTATTTCTTATACATAAGAAATAGTATAATTAGAAATGAACCCCAGGCAAGCTG